CCCTAGTCTCCCAGGTCCTAAATTAATCACGACTACCTTGTGAGGTAGGCTAGACTGAGAGGCAGGGCCTTGTCCAGGGGTCTCCAACCTGCAGCCCATGGGCAGGAAGCGGCCCACAGAGGCCGTTTAACCGGCCCCCGAGCCGCCCCCGAACCGAGTCGCCCGCTTGGTGAATCCCCATGCCTTGCTGCTGCGGCGGTTTAACACTGCTCCAGCAATCTCTTCTGCGCATGCGCAGATGCCAGAAATTGCTTCTGTGCATGCGTAGACGCCAGAAATCGCATCTGCACAGGTGCAATTTTCAGTGTCTAGGTCTGCGCAGAAGCGATTTATGGCATTGCGCCGTGCTGGCCTGGCCCATGGAGGATATCCGTGGGAGTGATCCGGCCCATGCCCGGTAAGCCTTGCCAACCCCTGGCCTAGTCCCACACTCTTACCAATAAACCACACTAGCCTTCCAAAATGAGAGCAAATAAATCAATGGGGGAATAACAAATCTTGGGAGTGGCAGTTCATCACGATGCCAAAATTAAACCCCCAAGGCTGTAAGCCGCAGAATAGGAACCACCTGAAGGGGACCATGGGGGGGGGGGTTCTTTGAAAAACACCTGGCTGGCTCCTGTGAGAGGCAGGAAGCTTGGTTAGGTGACAGGCCCACCTTTATCGGACGCATCAGAGCTCTCCTTACATTCTTACTATGAGAAAACGGTCATGGATGCTATAGCTGGGATTCCTGCGTTGTAGGGGGTTAGACTAGATGAACTGATGCCGAAGAATTGATGCTTTGAATTCTGGTGCTGGAGGAGACTCTTGAGAGTCCCATGGACTGCAAGAAGATCAAACCGATCCATTCTTAAGGAAAACAGCCCTGAGTGCTCACTGGAAGGACAGCTCGTGAAGCTGAGGCTCCAAGACTTTGGCCACCTCATGAGAAGAGAAGACTCCCTGGAAAAGACCCTGATGTTGGGAAAGATGGAGGGCACAAGGAGAAGGGGATGACAGAGGACGAGATGGTTGGACAGTGTTCTCGAAGCGACCAGCATGAGTTTGACCAAACTGCGGGAGGCAGTGGAAGACAGGAGGGCCTGGCGTGCTCTGGTCCAGGGGGTCACGAAGAGTCAGACATGACTAAATGACTAAACAACAACAACAGACTAGATGAACCTTGGGGTCCCTTACAACTCTATGGTTCTCTGATTCTGTGACATGGGAACCTCTGTGTCAGAGATCAGTAAGACCCCCTGGCCCTTCAGACATGCTGGACTCCCTATCAGCCCCAGCAGGCCCAATGGTCAGGGCTGACGGTGCAAAGTTGGGCTCCAGAAACCTCTGCAAAGCTACCATTGGGCTACCTTTGTTGTTTGGGGAGGAGGCAATGAAAAGTCCAGAAACAATCCAGGAGGTGGAGCGAATCCCCTACAGAGAAAGGTTGCAGCGTTTGGGACTTTTTAGTTCAGAGAAAAGGCAAGGAAGAGGCGGCGTGCTTTTTTTCACAGGGGGACGAGGGTATACCAGCTCACATCCCCTTCATTAATGGCTGGAGGCAGTCCTAGGCGATTGCTCCCCAGGGAATTAGCCATGCTGATTGCCTTAATTATCTTCCCAACCTGCCTTGCCTTGCCCAGAACAAGAATTAGATGCAGCAGAAGCCACACAGGGAGAAAAAGGCAGCCTCTGGGCTGGAGGAAGAAACTAATAATGCCCATCAACATTTTATTAGCTGCTGGAGAAGCAGCAAAGATGCATTATTAAGGTACTTTGCATTTAAGGGGTATGTGTGTGAGTGTGCAAGTCCTATTGCCACTCATCACCCCAGTGATGAGGTTCCAGGGGTTCCAGGCGATTACTCAGGGTTCAGTTTCCTCGGGAGGAAGATAAGCAGAGATTGCAATGTCTCTCGGATATCTGGTTTTATTTCCACGTATATACAACCTGAGCATAACGTGGCAGGGCTCACAGCATCAGCACCCTAACAGGTCTCGCTTCTCCATCGGTCACAGCTTTGGATCCAGCATGGAGCAAGCAGGTCTCTGTGTCTCCAGCTTCCAGCTTGTTTCCCAGCTCAGCTCTCTCATGCAGCTCTGGCTATTTCTCAGAGATAGGAGAGGGGGTGGAGGAAAGGCCGCTCATTTATTCTATGGCTCCGAGCAACTTCTGGCAAGTTATGCTAATCTTATTGCTTAACAAGCCTTCCCCAACCAAAAGGACTGGTTTGGCAAGCTGGCTCTCATACCTTCTTTCCCCCACATATACAGGAACCCATGAACTGAAGGGAACCCAGGGCATCATCCAAACTGACCCCCACCACACAAACCAGCAAAACTATATTTTGATGCTATCGGGCCCTTTCGGGTGAGCGTTTGTGTGTGTGCCAACCTGTGATAAGTGTCCATGTAATATACGCAGATCTGTCTTCCCTTAGTAGCCCTCCAGATGTGCTGGACTGCAAGTCCCAATAGGCCCTGCCAGCGCTGATGGGAGTTGTAGTTTAATACATCTGGAGGGAGCCAGGTTGGGGAAGGAGGTGAGAGAAGGGAAGGGAAGCGATAGAGGCACAAGCATACCCACAGGGTAGCACCACTTTCTAAATACTGTGCCTTAATGCGCTAGATGCATTGCTTAATTAAGTGCCTTAATGCTGTTTGGGGAAATATCTGCCACTACCCAGCTTGTGTTGTGGAGGGGCCTCTGCAATTATGCAGCACTGAATATTTGGCCATATCAAACTGGTTTTTAATTGGCTAGCCCAGACTGGGGATTTTCATAGAACTGTGGAGTTGGAAGGGACCCCAAGAGTCATCTAGTCCAGCCCCTGGCAATGCGTTGATTTTGCTTTGAAAGCCTCTCTCTCACAATGAGTGAAGGTGGGACAGACTTTAGGTTAAGGGAGGATTTAGTCTACGCGACTCTGCAGAAGGCCAGGGCTTAACCCAGGAACACGATATGTACGAAAACAAAGCAGCTCCTGAGCATGGGCAAAGTGCACTTCCAAGCAAAAAGTCGCAGCTGGTTCTTGGGCTTATTCTAGAGCAATATCCTTACGAAAGGACATGATAGAGTTGGAAAAGGTTTAGGAAAGGGCAACCAAAATGAAGAAAGGCTGCAGTGTTTGGGACTTTGAAGCTTACATGATAGATTGAAGTTTATTCAAATTATGCATGGCCCAAAGAAAGTGGATAGAGGAAAGTTCTCTCCCCTGCAACACTAGAACTCGTGGAGATCCAATGAAGCTGAACGTTGGAAGATTCGGGACAGAGAAAAGAAAGGAATTCTTCACCCCGGTGCTCTAATGGGAAACCTGCAAGCAGGATTTGAACACAAGAGCGCTCTCCCCTTCTGGTGTCCAGAAGCATTGCTTCCTCCAGCTATGGAGGCAGCGCATAGCCGTCCTGCCTAGTAGCCACAGAGCCCTTTCCTCCATCAATTTGTCTCATTTCAAAGCCACTCCCTGCTTCTAGTGGGAGTGAGTTCCATAGTTTAACCTTCCCTGCAAATAAAAACGAACTACCACCAGCGCACCAGCAGGGAAAAAAGACCTTTTTTTGCCTGATGTGTTGTTTGTTGCTTTTGAGGTACACCCTCAAATGGGACTCTGCCCCCCCCCGCAGAAACTCAGCTCTGCCCTAAGCTCTTTCCTCCCCACCCTCCTCTTTTTCCACCTGCCTTCTTCCCTAAGCGAGGACCCGTCCAAGCGAGCAGCATCTCAAGGATGCGCAATAACCAAGCCCGCCAAGGAGATGGTTTCTCTGCAAAATTGGGGAGCTCATCCAGGCTGCCGCCGCCGCCCACCGTCCCCTCCCTCCAAGATCTGAAAGCTCAGAGCATCCTTCCTCCTCCTTTTAGAAAGAGGACGGTAGGACCCAGCAGAAGCCTCGGGCGCCCGGGGAGGTGAGTGTCTCTCTCTCTGTGTGTGTGTGTCTCGCCTTCTTCCCCGCCTGCTTTTGCATCCTTGAGAGAAAAGGCAGGCAGATTCTTCCCAGGAGGCGCCCGGCCTGCATCCCGGCCAGCGAGCTGTGGGCAGGGGGGCTGTGCCTGCCCAGAGGGGGAGAGGAGCGGGGAAAGGGGGGGGCAGCAGGCGCGAGGCAGGGGGCGAGGGCGCTGGCTTGGCAATGTGAGCCCATCTGCCCCCACCTCTCTGAGGAGGAGAGAAAGGGCGCCCTGCGCGCTGGCTTTGCTGCCTGGCCCCAGGGACAGGCTCTTCTCCCGACTGGTCCTCTCTTCCCTGCCTGGCGAGCATCCTTTGAACTCTCCCTGCATCCCGAGGAAGGACCACTTTGCCATCGCCGCTTCTTTCCCCCCACAGAGAGCTTTTCTTTCTTCGTGTTTTTCTTTCTAGCGGAAGGGAGGAGGACAACTCTCCTAGGAGTTGTTGAAGGGTCTTCCCCTTTCCTCTTGCAGCCATCTCTTGAGAGGGGAAGGAAGGTTTCAGAGCTTGAGGAAGGAGGGCGGAGGGAGGACGACGACGAGTCCGAGCCAATCGCCGGAGGAGGAAGTCCTTCCACTCTCACCTGTTCCCTCCCGGAGGGCTGGATCTAATGCTGTGACTCACCTGCGCGGCTGGTTTCCGACAGGACACGACAACAACGCAGCGCCAGGCTTTGGCAGGCGACCAAAGCCACGCAGACTTCTTCTCCCCGTCTCCTTTGGGTGGCTCTGCCCCTTTCCCTCCTCCTCTCCCTCCTCCTCCTCCTCCGCCACGAAAAGGAAGAACTCAGGAGTTCTCTGCAGCCTGCTGTTAAGTATTATACTTATAATATCCATGTCCGCTTTCGCCTTGGCAAAAGGGGAACACCTCTCCATTGGGGAGAGACGCCTCTGCCAAGTCTGATTTCTCTGGCTAACTTAGTTCCATCTCCACCTGCCTTGTGCTCTCCCTGCCCCCCCTGATCTGAGACAAAAACCTCCTTGTTCTTTCATAATCGCTGCGAAATCAGTTTTACAAGGAAAAAAAAGAGAAAGGATAGAACCGGCCTCTCCAGTTTTGGCTTGGAAACCAAAGGAAGATCTCGCAGGCTCCACATCTCAGCCGCTTTTCGTTTTGCTGAGACACGCTGAAATTTACGGTTTCGGTTGTGCCGGCTTATATATCTTGACTTCGAGGCCATGTCCACCCGGGACAGCGTGCAGATTCCGGACGACCGAGATTTCGACCACTTCCGGACGGAGTGCAATTCTGACGACGGCTGGAACCTCACGTACAACAAGTCTGGGATTGTCGTGTGGATCCAGATCCTTGAGGCAGAGAAAGCCCTGCACAAGATCAAGGTAAGGAATGTGCCGTGGAGCGTGGAAGGATCTGGCCCAGCACAAGCAACCAGGGTTTTGTTGTGGCTTCAGGCCACAGGCCCTGGTTGGCAGGGTGGTTGTTTTTTAATTCTCTTGTTTATTAACAACTTTTCTATTCCCTCACTTGCCACTTCTACTTTTCTGCCTCTTTTGGGGTCAACGCAGGAAACCCAAGGCAGTTTTCAGACGTAGCGTTTTGAGGTATTTAATATGCAGGGGGCTGTAGCCCATAGCGAACCTATAGCGAACCTATACCACGTGAGCCTCACGCAAAGGAAATGTGTGAGAGGGCATCTGTGGCCTTGCACCACTCCTGTGAGTTGTCACGCATGAGTCCCAACCGCGCCAGAATGCCTGGCGACTGAAGTTTCGAAACCTAACGTGCACTTTGCTGGGAAGTTAGGTTGTCCTCTTAACCTGACATTTTGACCGCTGCATGGAAGTCCTTGATAAGGCATTTCGTTAGAAATTCAGTTGCGCAATCCTCAGTGTCACCGCCACAAAATGAAGCAAGTCCCACAAGGCAGCAGAAAAGCGGCAGATTAATAACTCACAAAAGGGCAGGAGTTACAAAGCGCTGTGCTGTCTTGAACTGGGCCACTTTGGAACATGTAGATTTTCAGGTTTCGCAGAACTCTTTGTCAGATAGAAACTGATGAAGACTTCTGAGAAAGCGGAACATGTGCATGCTTTTATACCAGCTGAAAACATATAATGTACCGGACATGTTTTCCTTTCCCTGCATGCACCAAGTTTAAATTTTTTTTTGGGGGGGTGCATTTGTGCAAACCTGAATATCTTGGTCTTTTTTATTTGAACTTCTAAGTCACCTGAACTCCGTCCTTGAAGCTCCAGGGAGGCTGCAGTGCAAACACCCACCCACCAGTGATTCACTGCGCTGTGAACCAGGAACTTCCTGGTGCGAGTCTTTCGCGAGATCACCCTCTGTCCGACTTAGCAACTCCCCTTTCGATCGGGTTAAGATGATGCTGGCCTTCCTTACAGGGGCGACGTTGCATTTAGTTGGTCAGGTTTGCAAAGTTCTCTGAATCCTATGAGAAGCAGTATAATGATCCCTGAATCACTACGGTGCTTTCCCTCCTTATCAACACAACAACCTTGTGAGGTAGGTCGGGCAGGGAAAGAGAGTTTTCTCCAGAGAGCACTGAGATTCCACTGGAACTTGGTTGGCTGTCTTTGCCTGAACAGCACATGCTAACTACTATATAATAAATGGAGGGTGCCCTAATGTAATTATTCTTTAAGAACAGAGGAAGCTTATCCTGAGACGGACTGGCTCCGTACGTATTGCCTTCACTCACCGGCAGTGATTCTCTCAGGTTTCAGTGTCGTCGTTGTCGTCCCCCCCCCCGTCCCCCCGAAGATGCTCTCCAAGCATTCAAAACTTGCTAGGCACATTTTGCACCTGGCTATCAGCCGCTTGCGACCAAGTGAAGATGCCCGGGAGCCAGGATGGCACCTGACGTCTCCACCACCTGGGGATCCTTGGCTCGGGACTGTTTTCACGCACCAATTCCACATCCTGTAGAACCCTGTCATCCTGCACAATCAGAATGAATTTCAGGTACCAAAAAGTCGCACGGAAAAATACGGCTTTTGAGTTGTCTGGACCCCAAATGGCCACTAGGCATTCATTTTGGCAACTGCAACCCTGGTTTAAGGAGCCATGTGGTGCCTAGCTAGTATATCTGAATTCCTAACCCTGTTTGTCGCTGAGCTTTGCAACGCACACAGCTTTCGGAGAGCTCCAAGTGCCTCCCATACATGGTCTTCCTAATACTCACAACAACCCAGTAAGGGAGGCAATAATTATTATCTCCCTATGAGCCAGGGTAGGGCTGTGGCCCTGGTGTCTTACACGGCGCCCCCTTCTGGATTTCTGACGGAGGCAAGGTTGCTTGAATCAGGGGATTTTATCACATGCAACTTTTCATACAGGGGAGGGAGAAGCTGCTTTGGAGATCCCCTTTTCTATGCAAGGAGTCGGGGGCTCTGCTGCCCTCTCCCCTCCATGCCTGCCTGCTATGCAGAAAGTAACCGAACAATTAAACCCCTGTGTTGCAAACAATTATCAGTAATATCCAAGGCAACACGATGACCAAGTACGACAATGCGATGTCAATATGAACTCTTTATATAATCTATACAGAACATTGAACAGTATGAAATATATGAAATATGCACTCTCTGCAAAACCAAATAAACAGAAATCTTATAAATCTCTGAAAGTCACAAAATAGGCACTCTTGATGGATTCTCTTGAAAACATAGAACCAAATAAACATAAGTCTTAGAAAGTCTTTGTAGACTATGCAAGTCTCTGAAAGAAGCAATGGGTCAGATTCTTATCTGGTGAAAATAAGCCGTAAAGCTTTGTTTTATGACGTCCAATGCTGCTGAAGTGGTCCGCAAACAGACGTAGTGAACAGTGATTCCGGATATACCCACTTTCTGCTATACAGAAAGGGCTTCTCTTCATCCAGGACTCCTTTAGTAGGGGAGGAAGGGCGGGATACCAATCATTGTTAAAAATAATAATTATTATTGATTATTATGTTAATAATTATAGAGAAAACTCATGCTCGGGCTTTGCCAAATATCCTGCATGTCGTTCAGATACACAGTGAGCCGGTTCACACACGCATTTTAAACGTGGCGTTTGTTAGTCAGCTTTTCTGGGTCTTGTGAATGCTACGGTGTCCAACGGGTGTCGAGATCGCAGTTTGTTGCCTCCAGCCTCAGTTCTATTGGCCATCCAACCACTGCTTAAAAACCTCTCCCGAAGGGGAGTCCACCCCGTTCATAAGACCAATCACTATGGCAAAGAGGAGAACCAAACCGGACTGAAAAGACAGTTATAGGAGCCGACCCAAAGCCCCCCCCCCCCACATCATGCGAGTGAGCTGTGAAAATATGATTCCTTTTCCCGTTCCTCATCTGTCTCCTCATCCACCTCCTTCTGTCTCGTATGCCTGAAGCTTTTTAGCAGAGATCCTCTTTGCTTAATCACGTAAAGAGATGGAGCAGGGAGATCGGTTTCCCGAGGGGGGAAACGGATGTTTCCATCCCATTAACGTTACCCGGCACTCTGGGGCCAGAGGTCAGTTGGTGCCTCCAAGACGCCGTCTCTAAGCAGCAACAGGGATCAATGGGCTCTGGTGGCTCCTTCTGTGCTTTGCATCCGTGCAGAACGACGGCTAAGTGGTGTCAAGGAATAGATTCATTCGCCACAGATTTAAAGAGGTGGATTTGGAGGACAGGCCTCAGAGATCCTTGAGGGCCGGCAATCGTAGATCCTTTTTAGGCTTGGCAAGCGACCAGAAACAGGAGGGAATGATATGAAGTGCTCTTGTGCTCTTTGGCGGCAGCTCAGTCTGTGGAAATCTCCCAGTGAAGCTTTTTCACAGCCTGGAAATAAACACCGTGCTTTTTGTAAACATGAAATATGCTTGCGGTGGCAGATAGCGAGGCATCAAACTGTTCCTGCACAGCAGCAGAGGCATTTTGAATAAGCTGGCAACCTCAGCTCCACAGGTCCATCTGCCTGCATCTCTTGATCCAGGCATAGCCTTTGAAAGAGATTTCTTTTATTTTCTCTTGAAAAATAATAGAATCAAACGTTTTTATTTTTCTGGCTCGGTTAAGAGGAACTGTTACCCTCCAAAATCGTGCCTCAACAGGGTGGGGGCTTGGAGATACGATATACGATAGCTTGTTTCCTCCAGTTGATCAGTTCCATCCATTGGAGATGGTGAAATGAGGCAGCTGTTTAAGAGGCCCAGAATCTGTTTTCCCATCTCGCAGTTTGTAATCTCATCTATTCTCCCTTCTCAGAAAACACACACACACACACACACACACACACACACACAGAGAGAGAGAGAGAGAGAGAGAGAGAGAGAGAGAGAGAGAGAGAGAGAGACCTCACTCCTGAGAAAGGCACAGAGGCATAAACGAGTGCAGCACCACCTGGTAGATTACTCTTGGTGGTTATTGTTGTTATAATATATTTAATTATACCCTGTCTTTTTCCTTGACAGGGACTTGTAGACTTACAGTTAAAAATAAGAACTGCTAAAAATGTAAGGGGAGGGCAAACAATAACCAAAAAGCAAATTAAACACTGATAGAATTAAAACTCTCTCTTATCATAAAATCATAGGACTGTAGAGTTGGAAGGGACCAACGAGGGTCATCTAGTCCAGCCCCCTGCAAAGCAGAAATCTTTTGCCCAGTGTGGGGCTCAGACCCACAACCTGAGATTAAGAGTCGCGTACTCTATGGACCAAGCGCATAGATATATATCTATTAAAACCAGACATATAATTGCAATAAAAACAGCGAGCAACAGACCTTTCCTTAAAAGCAGTCAGATCCCCAAAGTCTGTTGGAACAAGCAAGCCTTCATCTGCTGGTGGCAGGACAGCAAGGAGGGAGTCTGTCTGGCTTCTCTAGGGAGGGGGTTTCGAAGTTGCTTGGGAGGAGCCACCACCAAGAAGGCCCCCCCTCTGCATCCCCACCAAGCGTCCCTGTGAGGGTGGTGGGAGCGAGCTAAGGGCCTCCCCTGAGGGTTTGCAGCTGACCAGCTGCTCTTCAGAGTCAGATTTATGAGGGGAGGTCGATGGATGCTGTTGAGCAGGGGTCAGCAAACTTTTTCAGCAGGGGGCCGGTCCACTGTCCCTCAGACCTTGTTGGGGGGCTGGACTGTATTTTGGGGGGGAAAGGAAAAAAAGAACGAATTCCTATGCCCCACAAATAGCCCAGAGATGCATTTTAAATAAAAGGGTGCATTCTACTCATGTAAAAACACCAGGCAGGCCCCACAAATAACCCAGAAATGCATTTTAAATAAAAGGATGCATTCTACTCATTTAAAAACACGCTGATTCCTGGACCGTCTGTGGGCCGGATTGAGAAGGCGACTGGGCCGGATCCGACCCCTGGGCTTTAGTTTGCCT